ACTGTGGGCGTCGACCTGGAGGACGGCTGAGGACGGGGCGGGAGAAGCCTCTACGTACGCAGTGGAGCTATGAGAAAGAGAAAGAAAGCCTCTTGGTGCTGAAGGAGCTGTACCGCCGGGGAGGTAGCGTGAAGCTACGCACTGGCTTTCAGGCGATCTACGTGCACATGGACGACGGGCTCATCACGGCGGCTTGCCTCAGAGGAGGAGCGGCTCGAGAGGAAAGTGAAGTGACGATGCAGAAGGCTGTCGGCTCCGGGGAGCAGGTCGGGTTCGTGGTCAACGAGCGCGAGAAGGTCGAGGAGGGCTCGAAGATCGCGGGCTACGGGTTGCAGAATGTTCCGCCTCGGCCGAAGCTGGCCCGTGCCGAGGCTGGCTTTCTGGAGGCGGGCCTGACGTGGATCGCGAAGGCGCCCTGGGTGGACGCAGAGCTGCTCTGGGTGGATCGTGAAGACGACCTGGGTGGATCGTGAAGACGCGCTGGTGGCGGCCACGGTGGGAGCGTGGCTGCGGGGCGCGCTGCTGCGCCGCGAGCTCGCGGCCATCCCTGCCCCAGCCTCTGGCAAGCTGCAGAAGAGGCAGGGCCGAGCGGTGCGGTGGTGGGCCTCGGCCCGCCGAGAGGTGCGCGTGATGGGGGGCATGCTGCCCATGACGTCCTGCGCCCTCCTCCTCCTCCTCCTCCTCCTCCTCCTCCTCCTCCTCCTCCTCCTCCTCCTCCCCCTCCTCCTCCTCCTCCTCTACGCACGCGCGCGCGGAGCCACAGGTCCGCTACGACACGCGTCCGCGGATCGAGAAAATCAGCGCCATGGTAAGGGATGGGAGGGAGGGGTAGGACGTCGATATGACGCGAGCGCACCTACCTTGTCCTCCTCCCCCTCCCCCTCCTCCTCCCCTCCTCCTCCTCCTCCCTCCTCCTCCTCCTCCTCCTCCTCCTCCTCTCCTCCTCCTCCTCCTCCTCCTCCTCCCTCCTCCTCCTCCTCCTCCTCCTATCCTTCCCTCCTCTCCTCCTCTTCCTTCCTCCTCCTCCTCTTCTCCTCCTCCTCCTCTCCCCCTCCTCCTCCTCCTCCCCTCCTCCTCCTCCTCCCCTCCTCCTCCTCCTCCTCCCTCCTCCTCCTCCCTCCCTCCTATCCTCGTCGTCGTCCTCCTCCTCCTCCTCTCCCTCCTCCGCCTCCTCCTCCTCCTCCTTCTCTTCCTCTTCCTCCGCCCCCTCCTCCACCCGCTCCTCCCGTCTCCTCCTCCTCCTCCTCCTCCTCCTCCTCCTCCTCCTCCTCCTCCTCCTCCTACTCCCCCCCCTCCTCCTACCTGCCGCGCCCATGCTCTTCGCGTCCGACGCGGAGGGCGCCGACCGAGCCGACCACGGCGGGCCACGGCATCGTCGGGGCGACCACCACCGCGGAGGAGGCGGAGGAGGTCCTCAGAGCAGCGACGGGGCCAGGGCACACGGTGTCCGGGCTGGACGGCTCGGTCTCCCGCCCGAGCCGCGCGGACAAGCAGCCCAATGCCACGCATCCCAGTCGAGCTGCTGCCGATCCCTCGGGAGATGTGGTGCGACCTGGATGCTGGGAGGTAGTGCTCGCCAGATCACATAATCCTGGGCGAGGGCCGTGCCATGGTCCGGTTGTGTCAGGGCCTGTCTCTTCTCTTCAGGAGCTCATGGCCACGCCATCTGCAGCGTGGAGGCTAACGAACCTCTGGCATCAGCAGCGGCCAAGGGGAGATCATCAGCTCCTCATCTGAACTATATGTTGAGGAAGATAAGTGCACTTTCAGTGGAGACGGGCATCAAACTATACCTACCCTGGGTGGACACCGCACGTCAGACAGCACATGAGCTGTCTATAAAACGGCAGCGTGGCTTGTTGTGCTCGCCGGGCAGGGCCCCAACCAGTCGGTCCTGACCAGGCTGCCCGGGTGACCGAGAAGACGTCAGAAGTTTATCGCAGCGCTGGACGCCGGTTTTCGACTTGGGCCCTCCAGCGCGGCCTCCGTCCCAGTGGAGCTGACCAGTGGGACGATCTCTTGGTTGAAACCAAGTATGATCAGATACAGTACCTCACACCAGCGAAGCTTGGGAATGTTGTTGCGCCAGTGGAGTTCTTCTCCCCTCGTATGCGAGGGCAACTTCTGTGGAGCAAGGCAGCAACTGCTGGTTGGGAAAGACATGCTGGTCGCACACATACGGCACCTCTTGGGAAGCCACCTGGCAAGCTCCTCGGGGCCCACGTAGCCGCCACGGGGAACCCGCGTCTGGGCCTTGCTCTGAACGTCCAGCGCCACGCAAGCCTGCGCCCCTCGGAGCTCCGAGGGGCCCGCCCCGAGGACCTCGTCTTCCCCCGGGAGTTGGGCGAGAACGTTGACATCGCCTCGGTATCGATTGCGCCTGGGGCACGTGCGGGGACTGAGCTCAGGAGGCCCCAGGTGGCCCGAATCTTCCAGGAGGATAGGGGCACCATGGAGGTCGTTGAGGACATCACCAGGGCCACCCCGGATGGGGCCCCCCCCTTCCCCTTCCGCCTGGCTCAGTACCGCAGGGCCCTCAAGGACACCGAGGCCTCGTTGGGGTTGCCTATGAGGTGGGGGCCTCGCAGCCCCAGAGCAGGATGGGCAGGTGATTCGAGGGCTGAAGGGCTCTCGTCTGAAGAGGTTCGAGAGCGAGGGAGGTGGACTTCGGGCGGCAGCTTGCGAATCTACCTCGACATCGTCAGAGCGAGCCACACCCTCGCCCAGCGAAGTACGCAGGGCCTCGCGCAGCAGCTGCACTGGCTCTCAAGAGGGGCCGGCGACGACACTTCCCGAGCTCTGTCCGGGGAGTCAGCGCCACGTCTGCCCGCGCATGGCTCCCAGTGGGCACATCAGGGACCTCCTTCTCCTCCTCTTTCTCCTCCCCCTCCTCCTCCTCCTCCTCCTCCTCCTCCTCCTCCTCCTCCTCCTCCTCCTCCTCCTCCTCCTCCTCGACCAGCGGGCAGCGGATCAAGGGCCCCGACCTGTCCGGAAGGGAGAGCGCGCCTC